TAAAGATATTTTTGAGCAGAGTTTTAACAAAGTAATTTATGATTATTTTAACATTTAATAAAGTATTTTAAAAACCGCACGCAGTTGATATAAAAGTTTGAATTAAATATGCTCATTATTTACAAGTAGAAAAAATTCAGATTAAAAAAAAAGTTTAAATCTTTTTAAGGTAACATTTTAATAAAATTATTCAGCAATAGAAAAGTTGTCGATAAAATTGAACAAAAATACTTTCTTTTAGTTTTAGATTTTTAACTTAAATAATTATTTTACGGGGGTTTGTTAAGTTTTAAAATTATTCCATAGATTTAAAAATATTTAACTGTTAGACGTGTTTAAAGTATTTAAGATTAATTTCGAAGAAACATTTTAAAAATTGGTAAGCGCAAATAAAAAAAAATAAAAGGATTTATATTAAAACGTATTCTACTTGATTCAATAAAAAAGTACAGTTATTGAAATTTTTGTAAAAAGTAACTCAAAAAAAATTACTTAAATAATAACAATCGCTTTTTTGTTAAAAGTTACCAAAACTCAATGAAGCGTGCTCAAGAACAGCTGCTGAAAAATAGAACGTCAATAGTTTGATAAATTTATATAACCTGGTTTTGTTACCTGGTTTCTACCAATGTTAAGCGAATTTCCACAAACACCCTGAAAAAGGCTCAATAAACGTAAAAAATAAAATAAAAATAAATTCTCATATTTAGCCATGTAATGTTTTCTTTTTTTTATTTTAGCGCACCTTTTATTAAATATAGTTCAATATGCAAATTTTTTCGCTGAAATATGTCTTTTATACCTATAAGATTTTTATTCTAACATTTTATTTTATTTTATTTTACTAGAAATAAAATTCCTTGTAAACATTAAAAATCTATTTAAAACGTTCGTTAAAGTTTTTTAGTAATACGAGTGATTGTGCTTATCAACTGCTTTATGATAATAAATAAAAAAATATTATATAAAATTGCTGGTAAAAATATTAGCTATTGCAGTTTTTAATCGTACAATATTAAAATTTCCAGTTTATTGCTTGCTTTTTAAAAAGAAAAAATAATTATTTGAAAAACATTAAATTACATATTTGAGAGAAAAAAAATCAAATATTAGCATATTTTATAATCTTTTTTCAATGTTTAGTTATAATGTTTTTTATTCGTTTAGTATAGACACAACGCGTCAAACGTCGAGAAAATAAACAAATGTTTTTACATTTTAAAAAACGAAACATTCCAAAACATTTCTAAATAATAACATTTCTACATTAATGATTTAATTAGTTTTGCGGTAATTAAGTAAATTGGTGCAGTTAATGTCGGTAAATATAAAAAGAAAATAAAAAGAATTTAATGACGTCAAAAATCACGTAGTGCTTATGCGTCTTTTATATATATATATATATATATATATATATATATATATATATATATATATATATATATAGTATTGGACAAAACATTTGCAACCAACATCGAACAATTCTAAAAAGTGTTCCTAATTTTACATGTCTTAAAAACGAAACAAACTATATTACCACAGCAAACGTCATAGCATGCCGTAACATGAGCAATCAGCTGACAGGTGACAGCACACAGGCAGAATTTCGTTGACAAGTGCCATTTTGCAGCGGACAAAACAAGTGTAACTTTTTTGGTTTGTTTCATTTACTCAAGTCTGGTCCGTGTCAACGTCGCAGAAGTTTTTTGATAATTAAAGGAAGTATCCAGAAGTTCCAGAAGCATGCACAGAAGCTTCCAGAAGTTTCCAGAAGAAGCATCTGGAAGCATCCAGAAACATTTAGAAGCATCGAAAAGAAGCATTTAGAATCTTTCAGAACAGGTTCACACAGGTTCATTTTACTATATAAGAGACATGTAAACCGACATGTAAATCAGTCAGTATATGGAAGTCAATCAATCAGTATTATCAAGACAGTTTATCGAAGTGAGTTTTATCAAAGTGTTTTATTGAAAAACATCAATACAGGAAGTGAAATACAACAAGTGTTTCATTATATCAATACAGTCCACATCCAACCAAGACATTGTGTTCCACAGAGCATTATTGTATCATCACAAGGTAAATGTAACACGGAAGCATGATTATTTATTTTTATTATTTTTATGACTTTAAGTGCAAAAATAACTCCCAACAGTCTTCGATTGGAACTAAGAAAGAAAATTATTGGCGATTACATAAGTGGAATGTCACAAAAAAGTATTTGTGATAAATATCGCATAAAAAAATGGACCGTATCAAGACTATGTTCCAAATATCGTTCTATGAGGAAGTTGGCAGCAGATAACAAAGGTGGAAGACCGCGTTCCACCACTTCTAGAGAGGATTCTATGATCGTCAGATCTGTCAAGAATGATCCCTGGATATCATCAGTCAAGATACAAAAGGAATTAGAGCTGCCTGTATCAGACCAAACAATCAGACGACGTGCTGTTGAAGCTGTATTGTTTTCTCGACACCCTGCAAAGAAACTGCTGGTTTCACTAATCAATTAAAACTAATGAATTGAAGTTCAACATCATTGGGAGCGATGGCATTTGCCGTGTACGTCAACCGGCCGGAAAATGCCTCAATTTACGTTACTGCCATAAGGCCGTGAAGCATGGTGGAGGCAATGTAATGGTCTGGGGGTGTTTTCTGCTAACGGTCTAGGTCCAATACATTGAATCAATGGAATAATGGACCATTTCATGTATAAAAATATCCTGAAAGATGTTTTTACCTCATGCTGAATGGAGTATGCCAATAAAATGGGTTTTTCAGCAAGACAACGGTCCGAAACACACTGCAAAAGTAGTCAAGCAGTGGTTTCGGATCAAGACAACCACCTATTGGTGATGGATTGGCCGCCTCAATCTCCGGATCTCAACCCTATCGAAAACCTGTGGGAGATTGTCAACTGCAGAATTAATGGTGATGGTGATCGTAATAAGGATCAACTGTTTGAAGAAATCCAAAAGGCCTGGGCAGCGATTCCACAAAGTTTTATTGATCACCTGATCAAATATATGCCTTAAAGATGCAAGGCTGTGATTGACAACAAAGGATTCGCCACGAAATATTAATAGCGAAATACAGCTTCATTGGCCTTTTGTGGAGTTGCACTTGTTTTGTCCAGAAGGAAATCAACTTTTTTTAATACTTTTGATTAATTTATCAATTTTGGTGTACAAATAAGGAACTTTGTGATGAATAAAACTTGAAGAACGTTGTCTCTAAATAGTTACATAGTTATTTCTCTAAATTGAAAAAATGCAGCACTTTTATATAAAGAAACTAAAATAGCATTATTTGGTTGCACTTTTTTTGTTTGATACTGTATATATATATATATATATATATATATATATATATATATATATATATATATATATATATATATATATATATATATATATATATATATATATATAAACACACAAATTTAAAGGATTTCAGGTCGGCACAAGCGTGCTGACCTTAGCTGACGTCAGGTTGGCAAAAAAAAAAAATTGGATTTTTTGCTTTCTGTTATGGTAAGGGTAATTATTAATTGATTATAAAAGGATTGCTTTATAATAGTATAGCTATAGACAATAATATTTTAAAGAATGTAGCAATTAAATTTTGTGTAGTAAATTAAGTATATAGCAAATTTATGAACTAGTGAAATTTTAGTTTTGAAGTTGTTTTTTTTTACAAAAAAAAATGGTCATAGTTTATTTATTACATTTTAATTGGTTTTTTAGATTGCTCATAGAAAGAACGTTGTTTAGAAATACAAATTTAGTTTATGTGCTGTAGGCGAAGATTTTGTTTAAAACAGCAAATTGTTTAACAAAATGAGTAGACAGTTTAAATCGGGTTGTTTAACCTCTACAAGAAATAAGCACTTAATTCTCAAGTAGTTAGGGATGGTGTTTTTTAATATTTAATTGTAGTATAGTATGAAATTGTAACTATATGTAAATTGATGGAGAGAAAGCAAAAGTTAAAAATACTAAAAATAGTTTTTGTTTCTTATATATAAAAATTGTTTCCGCGCAATGGCGATTGTCTTATTGACATATTTTCACAATTTACTTATCAGATTTTTCTGTCCAATCATTGTCAAGTTTTTTTTTTTTATAACTGATGTTCCCCTTACAAACGTTTTGTTGCTAATTTAGCACAGCTTTTATTTTTATTATGACAATTTTTTAAAAGCTCTGAATGCTCTTGGCAAGTTTTACACCATATCAAAATTACTTCACCTAAATCATCAGTTTGAAATCCACAGGATTTAAACCCCCATTTTTCAATGATCGTTCTGTTAGGCATTATGTCTTGTTTTAAGCTTGCTTACTGTATTACTGTGGAAATTTAATGGAAGCCTTAACTTCTATTAAATTATAAAAAAGTTTTGTAACTAATGTTTCTTCTTAGCTTTGGTATAGTTATGTTTTTAACATAACTATACCAAGGCTAAACTTTCCTAATATACTTTGATGATCTTAAATAATATTTAAAAAACTGTAAACATGTAAATTATTTTATTAGTTGAATGATTTTAACCAATAAAATAAATTAAAATTATATTTTATAACTTAATAAAATAATAGTTGCGCTTAAAAAATTGTAAGAACAGCAGGCATTTAAAAAGTAATATTTTTTAACCTTGCTATGCTTGAATAAATTTGAGAAAAAAAGAATAAAATAATTACAAAAATAATTACAAAAAAAAATAATAATTACAATAAAAAATTTATAAAATAATATTTAACAAATATTAATTTATAATTTTTTATATAAATTATTTCAATTTGTATGCTGACACTTTAGGATATTCAGGTCGGCAGTTGTAAGCTGTCCTAAAGCAAAGATATGTCAGCTTTTGCGTCGGCATTGCCGAATGCCTATCTAAATTTTGCTGACTGTGTGTGTATATATATATATATATATATATATATATATATATATATATATATATATATATATATATATATATAATTGTATATTAGATTGTCTTTCTTCAAAGTTGGTTGGTTCTATACTTGACACTGCCATATCATTACTCAAGTCAAAATCCAGAGAAGTGATCAAATCTAGCTTGCTGTTCATACGTGTAAATATATTTTATTATCTGCAGAGCAAAAAAAAAAATTTATCGTATATGAGATTGTTTCATCTTTTTTTATATTAGGCTGTTGTCAAAATTTTTGACTCAAATGAATTGATTGAGCACTTACCAACTTTGGTATGATATTTGTACACACTTTCACAAATTTTTTTTATTATTATTATTATTGTAATTATTTATAGTATAGGGTGTATAGTATAGGATGACCAGAAAGTTCTGGCACATGTTAAGTATAGGGTGACCAGAAAGTTCTGTCACATAGTAAAATTGCCATAAAAACGACTAAATTTAAAAAAGACAAATAAGATTAAAAATAAACTTTATTATAACAACTAACAATCACATTACAACATTAGATTTTAAAATAACCACCTTTAGCTTTGATACAGGCCCTAAGTCTCTTGGTGAAATCATTGACTGCAGCACGCAAGTATTCTGGAGAAAGATTATTCCATTCCTTCTGAAGTGCTCGGTGCAAAGAGTTTAAATTCCTTTGAGGGATAGAACATGCTTTGGTCTTCAAAACTGACCATACTGAATAATCCAACGGGTTGAGATCTGGCGAGTAGGGAAGCCATTCTTGGGTGCTGATAAAATCTGGAAATTTGTTTTTGCACCACCCTTGAATGATTTTTGCCTTGTGGGCAGGAGCTGAATCCTGTTGAAACGTCCAGGGCTTTGTACCAAATTGTGATTGGGACCATGGAAGTACTTCTTTTATAAGGGCATCAATTAAATAGTTTTGACTGTTAATTTTAACTCCAGAATCCACAAAAACTAACGGAGTTTTGCCATCCGAAGTTATTACTCCAAAAACCATAACGGATTGTGGATGTCCTGAATGAGAAGCGATTCTACCCTTTATATTTGCATCATGATACTTTTGGACAATATCCGATCATTTTGATGGTTTAAGAAAGCTTCAATATTGAATAAACATTCATCAGTGAAAACAATTTCTGACTGGCGCGCAGAAGAAAAACGTTTAAGTAAAAGCTTGCATCTTTCCATTCTTACTTTCTTTACTTCTTTTTGGATCTTGTATGGGATAAGTTTTAGCTTATCCTTGCATATTTTTCTCAGGGATTCACGACTTATTTGCAAATCATTTGCCATTTTTCTCATCGATCTCCTTGGATTTCGACGAATTCTATCACACACTTTTTTGATAATAATTTTGCTACTTGATGTCAGTGGTCTTCCATTTCTAGGCTTGTCTTGGGTACTGCCTGTCTCCTTTAAACGTTTTAAATTGTTATAGAGAGTTCCTCGAGGAGTTTAAAGTCTTTTTGCTATCTCTGCTCCAGTGCATCCACTAAAGAACAAATGCTCTATAGAAACTCGATGGTCTTTTGTGACTTTAATACTAAAAATAAAATAGATTTAAATTTAAAAAATGCCTGAATACGATTAAGAATAGACATAGGAATGAAATGGAAACGAAAATATTGACAAATAATACATTTTCTTAAGTCTAATAAACTAATAAAATTGAGTGCCAGAACTTTCTGGTCACCCTGTATATAGTTTTTTTATTCTTCAACATTAGTTGAGAAGTTTATATTTGGGTTGATGGTAATTAGTAAACAAAGCTGATTCCAATATTTTGGCTGATGACTGAGTTGTCACTTATTTAGGTAATTCAGAAAAAAGGTTTTAAAAAGTGGGAAGAAACTATCAGTGAGATTCATTGATATCATAAAATACATACATATAAACTTTTTTAATTCAAGCAATTTTTTTTTTTTTTTTTTGTGAGCTTTTTTTCTAAAAAATTTTAGTTTTTTTGTTTAAATAAATCGAAACTTTTTTATTAATTGAATTAACTATTTTATAAATCGAAACTATTTTTTCAAAATTTAATTTTTATTTTTTTCAATTTTGCATAGTTATCTTGTTCATGACAATCAACCCATAAACCTTGCTTAATCTGTTTAACCCATTTCATTTAAGGGCTTGCTAAACTGAAGTTACATTCAATAATTTTAGTCCATTCAAAAATTTAATCCAAAAGCTATTTAGTATCCATTTATCAAGTAGTATAACCATTTGATTTTTTACAGTTTTCTTAGAAGCTGACATTATTTTAGATACCAAATTTATTTGCATGGAATGTAAAAAGCAGTGGTGCTTATCGCCAACAAGTACGGGTAATATTAGAACGCCTGGATAAAAAATGTGGGTATGTGATTTATTTTTGTTTTTTGATTAATTTTTTTTTTATATACTAAAGTTATTTTATAAATTTTTTAAAATTATAATAAAGAAATTTTTTTATCATTTTTTATTAACTAAACATATTTCATAACATTACAGAAAACAATTATTTTTTAAATCTGCTTTGAAACTTTTTTTTGAAACAATTATTTTTTAAATCTGCTTTTAATTCAATACACTTCTTGTTTTTAGAAGTTTGTATGTTTAATGCAACAATGTATATCTCTCAGCTTTTGCACACTGTTTTTTTTTATAGAGGTTTTCAGTAAAAGTTCTTTTTACATCAATTTTTTAAACTGATTTAAAACCATCCAATAGGTTGACATTAGAAATCATTAGATAGAAATTGTTGATAACAAATTAAAAATCTTTATATTTTTTTAAACCTATTTTTATATATAATAGAATATATAATAAAAAGTGTCTGAATTGTGGTTGTAACTACTAAAATGTGATTTTAGAGTCTAAATTTGGTTTTCAGTTAAATTCCTCGCAAGTTTATTTTGCCAGTTCTTAAATCTCAGGTGCAGATGTAATATTTTTCAAAAATGTCACCAATTCATGTCAAATTGAATGAGGAAGCTATCAACATAATTCCACTACCTGAATATCTGAATATAGAAAAATAAATTTGTTGATCTTCTTTTCTCTTTTCCTTTTCTTTTTTCAAGACAGATAAAAATATTTCTTGAAAAAACTCTTAATCGTGCATATTTATAACAGTTTGTATTTTATGCATAAATATAGATATTTATGCATAAAAGTTGGGGTGAACTGCAAACAATTTTAAGATTCAAAGACAAAAAATGATCCTTTTTTTACAGCTTACAGAATGTATTTGTATTAAACTCTTTTATCTTAATTTTTTTTCAAGATTTTAAAAACAGTTTTTTAATAATAAGAAGTTGCACTAATAATTAGATTTTAAGTTTCCTCAAAATATGTCATTTAAAACAAATGACTATATAAAGTTTAGAACCTCTCTTTTTTGTGTGTTAATGTTTTACAGTTATAAATAAAGATAAACAAATCTTTTGTCAACTTACCGAAAAAGCAGTTAAAAAAAACCTAAAGTAAAAATAACGTCAATTTAAAACCTTTATAAAAGTAATAAATATCATCTGCAATTAAAAATATCATCTGCAATTAAAATGGTCATTTTACTTAATAGTTTTTTTTTTAAGGTACCATTTAGTTAGAAATTTTGTACCTGACGAACATAAGCGATTTATTATACAAATTCATAAAACCCTTATGAGAACCAAACGCCAAAAAGAAGCAAAGAGAAACCAGGTATGTTTCCAAAATTTTAATATAAGTAAATATTTTTATGTAAAAATTGAAAATGAAAGAAGTTGAATCAGGAAAAATTAAAATAAAACTGTAAGTTAAAAAGTAAAAAATTATACCAAAACTGTGTAAGTGAAAAGTAAAGAGTTCAGTTTCACCACTTCCATTTTGAGATATAAACAGTTCAGTTTCCAACATTTTTATTTTATCATTGTATTTTTAAAATTGCTGTAGTGTTCCTAAATGAATAGGACCAAACACTTAATATACGCTAGGTATACTCCTTGGTTGATTTCTTATCTGCTTGGTCTAATGTGGGGTTTTACTCACACGTTCTAATGAAAAAATGATCGAAACAAAATCTCTGGGTTTTTTGTTTTGTTTTTTGTTATGATGCTTCATTAGGTATTCATCCTATGATACATCATTAGGTACTCAAGTTCAAGTTTTGTTGTAATTCTTTACATCATTAGATGTTTAAGTTAAAACAAATGTTTGTTGTAATCCTTTACACCATTATGTACTCGATGTTCGAGTTCAAGCTTTGTTGTGATGCTTTACATCATTAGGTCTAATGCTTTACCTTATTTGAGTAATGCAAATCATTTTTGTTTTTGAGTTGTTTAATGTAAAGTTCTAGACAATAAGAAGTTTTGTTTATTTATAAAGTTTCGTATTCCTCAAAATTCAAAAAAGGTTTTGTTGGCTCAAAACAATTTACTTTTGTTAATATTTTTATCATAAAATTTGTACAAATATGATTTTAAATTTTGATTTGTTTCTATTTGACATAAATTAGTTAAAATTAAATAATTTTGATAGATTTTCTGTTACAAACTTTATTTTTCTTATGCAACAAATATTGATACGGCACACGGTATTTTTTTTTTTTCTTACATAAAGATTAAAAAAGGTATGAAAGTAACAAGCTAAATGTAAACAAAAAAATAACTAGTTGTTTAATCTACAATGAGTATGTATTGTTTAATATACAATTAGTATATTTTTTCCTAAAGGATGAAGAAGTTGATGATGAAGAAGAAAAAGCATCTAAAAAAGGAGCTACTTTATGGCAGGATGTGCTAGCTGACTCTGATAATGAAGAAAATAAACCGGCTCCTGGTATTAAAAAACCAAATAAAAAGGGAAAGGTATTATTTGTTTGAGTTAAAAATGGTGATTGGCGAAATGTTAAGATACCTGAGAAAAATGTTAAGAGGAAGTCGTTGCTGCATACTTCTTATTCTTTTTTTATGAATTTTTACTCAGGAAAACAAAAGTTGGATTCTTGAGGGTGAAGATGAAGTAGACTTATTAGACTCGAAAGTTGCTAAAAATATTGTTGGTATAGAATTTATTATAAATAAAATCGTAAATTTTTATTATTACATAGTTTATACATCCATATTTTTTTTCTTTTTTCTTTTTTGAAAGCTTTTAAACCAAAGCAAGCGAAGCAAAAGTTTAGTTTTCCACTTAACAATGACGGGAAATTATTAATTGATGATGAAGACAATAAAAATAAAGATGAAGATACACCACTAAACATAGGTGCTACAGACATTCTATCAGGTGAGTTTTAAAAATGTTGTTTCTACAAGTGTTACCTGTCAATACCCAAGCACCATTAATAAGATTTATTTCTAAAAAGGTTTACCAATACTACATCAAATTAGCAACAGATCATTAGTGTTATTTATAGCAACAGATCATAAAAATCAGATAATAAAACAATAAGTTCATTGATAGAAATAGTCAACAATAGTATTTTTAAAAGAAAATGTATTTATAATGTATAAAGTGAAAACAAATACTTGAAATTCAAGTTATAAATATCTTTAAAAACAGAAGTTATATATCAACAAAAAGGTTAATAAAGGATTTAAATTTATAAGTTTGACTTTTTTTTAAAAACCCAATAGAAAAAAAAAATTTCAATGGGTGATTTTAAGAGGTCTTATAAAAAGTCAATTTAAGCGCCATTTCTGTTGTTTATTTATACTTGTATATTAGAATTGTTTATCAATTGTTTTGTATACCATTTATTACTGTTATAGTTAATATTAGGAGTGAGTAAAACTGGATATCCAGTCCGGTTTGTTAAAATCGGGTTCGTATTTTTACAAACCGGACCGGATAACCGGTTTTCGCTAAAATCCGAATTTATCAGGATATCCGGTTTGCTCACCCCTAGTTATTATTTACTTGTTACTATTTTTTCTGTCACTATTTTTAAAATAAATTATTATTTAAGGTTTTGATAAAACTCCTAAACAAATAAAACTGGGAAAACGTAAACATCTTGAAGATATGCCAGAAAATGAAAATTCTCTTTCTACATATAAACCTGGTGGTGCTGGAATTCATCGTGATATAACTAAAAAGAAAAACTATGGAGAAGAGTACAAGGCTAAGGTTTATCTTATTAATATCTAAATATTTTATTTATGTTTATAAAATCTTGTTATTGGTATCTGAAATTTTTACTAAAATTTAATAATATTTACTAAGTTTGTTATATATATATTTAAAAAATTGCCCCAAATTATTTTTCTTAATTAAATTTTTTACCTTGACAATAATTTTACTTGTTTTCTTATTTCAAAAAAATGTGGAGATGTTAGCATTTTGGGTATGTCAGTCAGTTATAAGAGTAAAAAATAAACATACTGTGTTTCTGTGTGTCACGCCTATGTACGACATATACTGCACGAAGGTCACTGTCAGTAAATAATATGATCATATAATAAATAACAACACTGTCAAAATATCAGTCATAAATTTTTGTTAGTTACAGATACTGATGGCCTGTCTGTAGCAGACGTCTACTATTCTCATCAATATGCTTTATAATTTTACTATTAAAACGTACAATTAACATCTTATTAATCATTTAAATCAAAATAGTCATTCCTGGTCTTCCTTCCTCTGCTAAAAATCTGTAGCGTCTCTTTCTGACAGATTCTCTATTTAACTTTAGATATCTAACATCTCTTTCAAAATAAATTACTAAATTAACAACAAAAATCATTTATTCGGATAGCGTTTATCTTTGAACGCTTAGGCCAGCCTTTATACTGATGGAAGTTTTCAGGACCGATGATACGGGTTTCAAAGTGGAGGGACACAATCGTCAATTAAAAAAAAAAAAATTCTCTATATCTAGAAATTTCTTTAAAATTTTAACAAAAAAAAAGGTCCTCCAGAAAAAAGGACCTTTTTTTGCCCCTTGACCCCCCTCTCTCGGTGTCGTCGGCTCTGGTTTTTGCTGCAATGCTTTACTTTTTTTGCTCTAAAGCATGTTGGTCTAACTGATGCATGCTTTTTGAGCTTGATTCATAAAAATTAACACATTAATTAATTGGGACAAAAACTTCTGACTCAACACTTGAAGATTCAACTAAATATAAAGCTCAGTTATACATTTACTTCAAAAGGAAAGAATTCTACGGAAGTCTATCATAACTTCAAGTAATAATAGACTTCCATATTTATAACAACATAGAACAAAAAAAAAATAAAAAGTTTATTAAAAGCATCAATTTATCATCTAAAAATAAAAGTTGTAAACCCGTGTATTTTAGTTCAACATCGGGTCTAACAAGCCATTATTATATTAATTTCTTACTTGGGGGTTGTGGTACCGTTTTCAAATTATATGTTTCTAAAAATGAGTAGTGTGAATTTTTTTTGTCTCGAAACTACAGGTTTGGTTTTATAACAAATTTTCGGGGGTTTATTTTTCTTAAAAGTCTATAACAGTAGAGATTTTATCTTCTTTTTATCTTGAGAGTTTTTAGTAGAATTTTCCTCTTTTTAGTAGAATTTTTCTCTTTTTTTCAAAAAAAAGAGTCTATACCAGTAGAATTTTTATCTTCTTTTTTTTTACATTAGACTAGTTAGTAATGCTAGTAATCATAAAGTTATTTTTTTTAACTCAGAAAGCGCGTGGTGATGTAAAATTGAAAGGAAAACCGGATCCATTTGCATACGTTCCACTTGATCGTCAAACTATGAACAAAAGGTAAAAGTTTCTGACCTATTTTAATAACTATGCCTTAAAATTACATGTTTTTAATCTTTTTAGTTTAGTTATTTATTTATTTTAAACGAAGAACTTTGTTATTTCTCGATAGGAAAAAATCTAAACTAATAGGACGGTTTGATGGCTTAGTAAAGGCTGCTCGTCGTGGGGCGATTAAAGGAAGTAAAAATAAAAGAAAGAAGAATTGAGAATTATTTACATCTAAGTACAAGTGCTTTTCTGGTTCAACTATTTTAGTAAAAGGACAATTTTCTCAGCAAACCAATTTGCTTTGATTTTTTGGCATCTGTGCGAATATGATTTTATGAGGTTAATAGAAATATAATAATATGGTATGAAAAATGTGTAATTAAGCTATAAACGGGTGATTTGATTAGACTAATAAAATAAACTTACATCTTGTAATATCTTGATTGTAATAGACAGATCGAAGTATACATGTTTAAGTGATTTTTTAAAAATCTTGAGTTCAAATTTTAAAGCATGAAACACAACATCTGTATGACCAATAAAAAATGCCACTCCCATTGTGGTTCTCTGTGATGAAAGCGACCACTTACAGTTTCACTTATAGTTATTAAAATAGTTTTAAACTGTTTTAAAAGTTTTTGTTGTAAATTTTTCTTAATATTTATTCAAATTTATCCAGTCTTTAATTTAAGGCCTAAACTTTTAAAGAAAAAATTACTTTTTTTTTTTAGATAGATTACTTGACAGAAATCTCTGTTTGATATGAAAAAAAGCAAAATAGTTATTAAGATACCTAACCGTTTAATAAAAAATTAAATCAAAAAAATCTAATAAACACCATAACAAATCCTAATTTTAAATAGAAACTTTATGGTGGTAACTCTTTTTATTTATCCTTTTTATTCTATCTGTAAAAGCAATGCAATACTTTAGTACTAAGCTGATTAGTATGGGAGAGAGTAGAGCACCATGAAACATTGTAATTGGGGAGGCATCTTAAGAGTTGCGACAACCATTTTCATATAGTAAAACACTTACTACTAGAACTATGGTGTCAAAAGATATAATTTTTTTTGAAAAAAAAAATTATATCTTTTGACATCATTAGTCCCGCGAAGGGTCGAAATTTGTGTTTTTTTTATGACAAAGTAATTTACTAGTTTTAAAGGTCCTAAGTTTTAAGGTATTTTATTTAATGTGTCTAGTGGTAAGTAACTTTATTTTGTAAACTAAAATCCATAAGCTTTTTTCTTCATCAAATAAAATCATTGAAAAAACAAATTGATACTATAAATAAAGCAATTGTTTTCTATTAGCAAGTATGGGGTTAACAGTATTTGTGGGGGGTCCTAAAACTGTAAAATAGTGTCATAAACAATTCTAAAAATCATTTCTTTTAATATTTAAGGTTAATTTTTAAAAGATTTATGTTAATAAAGTGCAAGGAGATTCCATCTCGATACAAAACCTTTATTTATTGACGCTTGAGAAGGACACTTAAAACGGTATATTATTTGGTCTTCTGAAATGCGATTTAATGATGCTTGTAGTGTGTATCAAGGTACCCAATGTTTCCAGTACCTTAAAACAAATTTCTAATTTTACTTTAACTAGTCTCCCAAGTTTAACCTGTTGTATCATGATAATTTATAGAATTTATTTTGTGGGTATAAATTTATTCTATAAATTAAACAAATCGTATTAAAAAACTTGTTACGAAGAAAAAACCAAAAGTGTGTCATTGTGCCCTACTCTCCCCTAACCAAATGACATTATATCGATCACTCAATTTTTATCGATAGAGTAATAAATCAAAAAATGAATTATATTATGAATTCATCATATTGTATGCTGACTAGGATGTATCGTACTTTTTTTTTTTTTTTTTTGCTTCCAAAAAATGAAAACACTCTATTCTAAAAACTTGTGCTTTATATAGTATTACTAAAAAAAACTTAGATTAAATAATCCGTAATGATTAAGCTACCGGGAATCGTGATATAGGATTTAAATTCACGGAAAATTCCTTACGAGAATAGCAAATTTTTGCTTGTGGTTGTTTATTTTTGATTGCTTAAACTTTTAATTATTTTTTCATCTATTATTAATAAAACTTTTATAATAGTTTCTATTTATAATCATTTATCTATCACTTAGTTATCTATTTAATAAAGTAAGAATTCTTTTTATAATAATTTTTTTAACAAAACAAAATTTACATTTTTTTTATTTTTTTCATTAGATCAAGTCTTTCATTGACCGACTCGTAGAGATCAACTACCTCGATAAACCCTGCACTCTTATAAAACCATCCTTTTTTCATAAAAAATTTTTTTGCTTGCCTTGTCTTTAAATTGACTGCCCATAACAAGGCCAATCCGGAACATCCATAGAGTGAAATATAATCTGTTTTACTTCTTCTGTTGTCAGATCACAAGTAAGAATAGGCTCATAAGAGATAGTCCAGTTGATTAACTGCATAAGTGTTGTTGCATCAGGTTTTATTTCTAGAGTTATTCTAGCTCTCCCATTTTCATCACCAGTTTGAGGTTTTTTGTCACCGGGGCCACTGATTTTCACAATTAACTCTATACAGTTCTTTCTTTTCTATAGATTTGCTGAGCAGAGCATGGTCTGTATGACGGACTCAGAGAAAGCATACCATGCTGAGCGTCGAACAGTTGGCATAACAATTGCAACTACTTCACTTGATTGATATTTCAGAACGCTAAGCTAGTAAAGAATGTGTCTCGGTCTTTTAAACCTGTAAACCTGTATTTGACTTGAATTTTAAATCGCATAGGCATAACGAACTCAATTATTAATTAAAGGTTTTTAAAATTTTGCGTGAACTTTCTGGTTAAATGCATATCCACGGTGCTCTGTGACAAGACCGTTAGGACTTCTTTGGGCACCTAAAATAAAAAAAAAAAAAAAAAAAGTCTGTGGGCTGTTGTCAGAATGGTTAACTTGGTCAATTTCAAGTAAACCCAAATCTGCGGGTATATTTCCACTTTTAATGGCAGAGACTATTTTATACTAATAAAACTGATTGGAGTGAAACTTTTGATTGCTTTATCCTCTTTTTTTTGATTACTTTATCCTCTTTTTTTTGATTACTTTATCCTTTTTTATACATTAGAGTAAGAAGAGAATTTCCGTCATCTTTTTCAGTCGGTTTTTAAACAAATTTAGTTGCTAGTCGGGTATTTTACATATTTCAGTCGGGTAAATTTTAGTTTTGAGGACCTTTTTATTTTTTATTTTTTTAACTAGTCGGGCTTCTTACTTTTAAGGATTCACCCCTCCTCATTTTATTCGTAGAATCGCCTCTATTCATATGATTTTAAACTCTTTCAGGTGTGAAATGGAAAAGATATCTACTACCTCTTGTCATACTGTATAATTTTCATTAAATTTTGACAAAATACTTTAAGTACAAGTAGTTTTAATTATATATTTTTTATCTGTTATGTCTTGACATAAGTAAAATAATGTTTATTATTTTACTTATGTCAAGAATGTCAAAAGTTTATCTTGAATTTAATTAGATTTTATTAGTTTTAAGTTATTCGCTGATATTTGTAATATAACTAAAATTCATTTTAAATAGGACTTTAATTAACTTTTATTTACTAACTAATAATTAATTAAAAACACAACGAACTAACAAAGTCTTACTTTTTCCTTCAATCTTCTTTCTCTAATTATATGTAGCTTTTTGGTAGCACATCAAATCGGATTAGCAGACTTATAAGAAAACATTCTTGTAAGTCTGCTAATCCGATTTGATATGCACCGGTAGTCCCTATTTTAGCTCTTTGCTAAAATACCAAGTATAAAAACTCTTTCTTTAAAATCTTTTTTCTTTTCGCTCGTCCAATTAATGTGGGCTTCATAGTTATATTCTGACGAACAGTTTTTCTCTTCACAAATAATAATTAAGCAATAGCAATTCAGTATATCAAACAATTTTTCAAGTTTAGCCATAAATCTGACTTTATCCTTTAATTTTGCTTTTCCCCTAGCAACCAGGTTGGCTGCATTCCAATCATCCACCAATCGCGCAGTAATATAATGTTCGATATATCGCAACGTTAGAATTATCATGCTATATTTATTACATTTTTGAGCTTAGAGATAAAACGGTTTAAAAATAAAAACTTTAGGAGACGACATACAATAACATTTTTATAACTTATGTCTTCTCTGCAACTTTTTTACTTATAAGTTAGGCTTCAATACAGTATAAAAACATTATTCTTAAGGACATAAAGCTCAATTTTTTTTTGATAGGTGGAGATAGAGCAAGATAATTCTAACGTCACAATGTGTTACAGGATATACAAATACAGCATTTGTTATTATCCATTTACCAATCAACTTTAAGTAAACATTGTTCATAAAGTATTTTATCGAATTTCTTTTGTTTTTATTGTTTCTTTCTAGTAAAAACAGACCATACGCCGGGTGAATAAAAAAAAGCATATGCTTTCACTCAGCGTTTTTGGAGTAATTGCGCATCTTTACGTAAATAAAAATTTGAGCAAATATGCTCAAATTTGCGTGAATAATATGTTTAACTACTTTACGTGAATAAAATGTCTTACTACCGTCCGATTTCCCTCCTACTAGTGTTCTCTAAAGTTTATGAAAAAGTAATCTACAATTAAATTTATAATTACTTGAAGTTAAACAAACTTTTATATAAAAATCAATTTAGTTTACAAAAAAAATTTTAAACAGAGCATGCTATCATTGAACTTACTAATAAAATATTTAAATTTTTTCATAAAGGTGATCGTGTACTGGCAGTATTTATAGACCATTTAAAGGCATTTGATACAGTTGACCACAACATCTTACTATCAAAATTAAAACATTATGGTATCAAAGGACTAATGTATAAATGAGTAAAAAACTCTCAGTAACAGAAAGCAATTTGTAATTAACAAAGTATTCTTGATATTGAGTGTGGGGTCCCTCAAGGCTCAATCTTAGGACCGTTATTGTTTTTAGTTTACATCAATGAGATACAAAAAGCATCATCTACAGTATCTTGTATGCTGATGACACAACTTTATTTTATAATCATAGTAATTTAAAATTGATGTTCGGAACAATGAATACTGAACTGGAAAACTTTAATATATGGTTTAGAGCAAATAAACTATCCTTAAACTGTGAAAAACTAATTGCATCTTATTTCATAAAACAGGTTACTTAATATCTCTACCGTTAAAGATTCCAGAGTTGCTCATTAACAACATAACAATAAAACGGGAAAAATATGCAGTTTCTTGGTGTTCAAATTGATGAAAATTTATCATGGAGAAAACATATTTGACACATTGTATCAAAAATATCATCTGCAATAGGTATTTTATATAAACGTCGCTCGTTTCTTGATTTTTGTTCAAGAAAAAAACTTTACTTTAGTCTAATTCACAGTCATCTCACATATGCTAATATAGTGTGGGCTAAAACACACAAAACAAAATTAATCAAACTACAAGGCTCACAAAACCATGCTTGTAAAGCAGTTCATTATCTAGGTAGAAGGGACAATTCTTCTAATGCGATGATAAATATGTACGTATTAAACTTGGAAAAACTTAATTTATACTAGATTTTTATTTTTATGTTCAAATATAAAAATAATATGCTACCAAATTCTTTTTTAGACATATTTTCGTCATCATTTTCTCAAAGTTATAATTTGCGATCAAATAGCTTCCACAACTATTATATTAAAAAAAATAAAACCCGAGGTTTTAGTTTTTTTAATATAATAGTTGGGTTCTAAATTTTCATTTATGTCACAAGGTCCCAAAATATGGAAAAACTTGAAAAATCAAAAATTAAAAGACTTAAATGGAATATCGTCGTTTAAAAGACTTCAATGGAATATCGTCGTTTAAATGACTTCAATGGAATATCGTCGTTTAAAAGACTTCAATGGAATATCGTCGTTTAAAAGACTTAAATGGAATATCGTCGTTTAAAAGACTTAAATGGAATATCGTCGTTTAAAAGACTTAAATGGAATATCGTCGTTTAAACGGCAAGCAAAGCTGCATAATCTTAATTTGTGAAAATAATTGTAACAAATCAAAAAAAAATTATAAAAAGTAAAAAAAAAAATGAAAAATAAAAAATAAATCCCGCTTTTGTATATCTTCAACTTATCTTTAAAAGAGGGAGTTTTTCTGGAAAAATTAAAAGTTGCTAGAGTGGTCCCCAATGACTCTATTCTTTCATAATCCAAAGTAATATTTTGTACAACAAACAATTTCGTTTTAAATCTGGTCATTCTACTGATCACGCAATCTTACATCTTGTCCATGATATATTTAAAAGGTTTAATGAAAAAAAATTTACTTTAGGTGTTTTCATAGATCTAAGTAAAGCCTTTGATACAGTCGATCATTTGATTCTTTTGTCCAAACTCGAGTTCTATGGCATAAAAAGTTCAAACTTGGATTGGTTTAATAGTTACTTGTCTATTAGGAAACAATATATTTCTTACGATGGTAGTAAAACAGATAATATGATCAACACATGCGGTGTTCCCCAGGGATCAATTCTAGGGTCCCTTTTGTTTCTAATCTATGTCAATAACTTGTATAAATTTTTTAATATTTTAACCACAATTTTATTCTTCGATGACACTAATTTATTTTATTCTCATGAAGACATTATTATTTTATTCTTAACAGTTAACAAAGAACTTGATAAACTAACCCAATGGTTTAAATCCAATAAATTATCCTTAAACATTGCTAAAACCAAATACACATTATTCCATCGTATTCATAAAAAAGAAAATATTCTGTTAAAACTTCCAAATCTTTTTATTAATAAAAATATAATAAAAAGGGAAATGTATAAAAATTTCAGGCGTAATTCTCGATGAAAATATTATGTGGAGAGAACATATAAGTGTAATTAAGAATAAAATTTCTAAAAATATTGGAATATTGAATAAAGCTAAACAGTTCTTAAACCAATCTTGATTTAAATACATATAGTATTCATTTATACACTGTTACCTAAACTATGCTAACATTGCTTGGTGCAGCACCAATGTTACAAAACTAAGTAAACTTCTCTGCAAACAAAAACATGCAATTAGGATTAATACAAATGAAAATCGCTTCTCCCATACAAAAATACTTTTTAGCAAACTTAATATTCTAAATGTTTTTAAATTAAACCTCTATCATATTCTTATATTTATGTTTGAACTTGATAAAAAAAATGACACCACTTTTATTCAATTCTTTATTTAAAAAAATAAATCATATATACAGCACAAGATTTTCAAAAAATAACTATACTCAATCCAAAACCTATTATTCTGCCACAAAATACTCAATCACAAACCGAGGGCCTAAATTATGGAATACACTTTTAAATAATGACCTTAAAACACTTTCTTCACTTAATCAATTTAAAACTAAACTTAAGCAAAATCTTTTACTAAACGACAATGAGCTCAATTTTTTCCAAAACGTTTAAATGAGAGTACTATTATTAATAATTTTCAGCATAACAATTATGTTTAACAATTTAATTTTAATAATTGTTTATTACTAAGATTATTTATTTAGATCCATAAATATGATGAATAGCATATTATATTAAAGTTTGCATTAATAGTATATTAATGTATCAATAATATATTAATGCATATTTATCAGCCTGATACATAATAATTTTGTATATATATTTTCTTTTTTCACGATAACAAATGTATATTTTATATGGTATACCTGGAGAAGAAAAAATAAATAAATAATAATAATAATCAAAATATTCATGTATAAATATTAAAAATGAAGAAGAAAAATAAAAATTTGAGCAAAATCGCTCAAATTTTTATTTTTTTATTTAAAATAAGCTTCAAATTCTTTTTTTGTTGTTTTAGTTGTACACAAGTTTTCTCAGTGTTTTTCTATATACCGTATTTTTGTAAAAACTTTTTTTTTTTTTTGACTAGGGCTTAGCAAAATACGGAAATTTTCAAAAAACCGCTTTTCGGTTTTTTCAAATTGTAAAACCGGATAACCGGTTTTATGCCAGTTTTTTATTATAAAAGATGGGGTGCACGATTTTAAAAGTGTTATTAAACAATCTCAAATTAAAATAATTAAACAACAATAACAAAATGTTAAGCAACAAACGAAATAAAACAACGAACGAAAATATCTAAAAGTTGACAAAGTAATTCAAGTTAGTGTTACTTGTCTTGACTGGATTGTTTTGATTATTATAAGTATTTCAAAATTTAAAAATTGTTGAAAGATTCTGTCAGTGTGTAATCTAAAAATAACTATTCCATAGAACGGAGGAAACGAAGCCAAAAATCATTTAAAATCGTAGTACAGTCTTTGTTGTATAATTATTCCAGCGAAAAGTCCAAATGGCGCCTTTGCGTTGAAAAAGGAAAATTTGCATATGTAGTTTGTAAACTTTGTAAGCTGTAACCAAAATGGATTACTTTCTCAAAAGTTGACTAGATAAGTTTTTAACAACTGTTCAATTAGTAATCACAACAAAAATCATGATGTACGTAAAGTAATCGTTTTTGAATACGTCGATACAAGGTATAAATTTGTCAAACTTTAAATAATCTCTACTACTCTAGGATTTTATTTTGTGTTGCAGTATTTTTGCTGGATTTAAACACAAATTATAGGTACTTGCGAATCCGATGAGTTACGGTTCCGATAATATAATCAAAACCTTCGACCATTTTATCAATGCGTACTTAGCGTTTGAGTAAGGACGTACTTTGTTGTGTTATTTTTTAGAATCTTATATCAATATAGACTTTTTTAAAAAGTTAGAAGAGTTAAATTTCATGATACTACTAAGATTATTCCTTGAAAAATTTTAACCTTGTTCTCCATCCAGTCTTTAGATTCAAAACTTTAACCTTGTTCTCCAGTCTATTATATCTCCTTGATGAAAATAAATGCAATATCAAAGTGCTTTTTAAAACTATATATATTTTCTCGATATTTGTGCTTTCTACGTTACTTGTTAGCTTGTTAAAACAAGAAATCTTTAAACTATTTATGTATTTAGCAATGTATAATTAACAACCGGTTTTTTTTATGAGAAAAAAAAAAAGGTTATCCGGTTGCGGTTTCCAAGGCCTAAGCATGTCTCACTAATACTGACCCTAACCCGAATTCATGTACTTAAAGATATAAATTCAAGATAACATAGGAAACATTTTTGTCGGATTTTAGAAGCCATGACGCGGTGGTTAGAGTTCTGGCTCAGAACCCAGAGGTCCGAGGTTCAACGCCGGCTACAGCCCAATAAGCGACGTTGGTAAGAAAAGAGGCGTGAACTTCTAATTAAATGCTCTCTTATCACGGTACTCCGTGATAAGACCGTAAGGACTACTGGGAGCACCTAAATAACAAAACAAAAACAAACAAAAAAAAAGTTTTGAAATTCTCCCCTGGATATGAACAATAAAACCATGTCACCGCACATAAACGAAAGAAACTCGAAACTTATGGACACTGGTCTTAAACCACCTGAGTAATACAAGAGGAGGTGGGAATAAAAGGGTAAGTGGGTAAAAAAAGTTATTCATTTTTTATTAACGATTTATTTCAGGTTGAGTTTCAACCTTGTAATATGTGTTGATGCTCAAATTTTAAATTTGTATTAAAATTTTTATTTTATTTCTTAAAACTCCTGTCAATAAAGTTTATCTTAAAAATTTCTTCAGAGTAAAAATGGAAAAATCGATTTTCGACGACGTGGATATTCTTTAAATTCGCGTTTGTATGCTTTTTGTTTCTTTAATGCCCACACAGTCATTTGTGCTGCACCTACCAGAGTAAACAAACCACTTGTGAGTGTTTGTGTCATTATTGTAAAAAACACCCAAGAGCCAATTTCATAAGTGTAGTTAGGACAAGATACTAAATGAAACAACCAAGTAAAAGGATTTGATGTAGGATTTGGTATCTTTCTTTCCTTTGATCCTTCTGGTCTTAAATTTTTTAAAGCCACATGAATAGAATAATTCCCAAGCTCGCAAAGCAAAAATCCAAAAAGACTTGTGTATACTTGTAAATACCCATAGGTGGCTGGAGTATAGAGTGGATGGTTTATAAAGTATGCTACAAGAGCTGTGAAGCCCCAATAATATGTGCAATTTTTAAATAAATTTCCTATTGGCATTGTACCATGAGAAAACCTATGAACAAATTGGGTTTCCAACAATCGCTTAACATAATGAAATATAAAACAACCAAAAGCAAGATGAACATTTTCATGAATCAACTTTGCATTGGAACCTACACCATAAATTATACTTGGCCGAAGATAAAATATTAAATAAACAAATAACGGGCCTGCATATTCAACTAAGAAAACTGTTTTCCATTGAACTTGAGGGCCCAGATCTTTAAAATAAAATCTTGCAGTACTATCAAACTTTAATGATTGAAGGGTTTGCTTGTCATCGAGTATCGGACCACGGGGCTCTACACGAAACGCTTGTCGTGATGGATACAAATGTGGTTTCACATTTCTATAAAGTTCTTTTATTTCCCCAACTGAAGTATAGATTGAGAGATCGTCAAAGGTGATCAAGACTGCTTTTGTAGTAGCATTCAACAGTTCTACCTGGAAAAAAAAAAGTAAAAAGCTAATAAGAAAAATCTAATATATACATTTATATGTGTTTTTCTTCTAAAAAAGGTAGACACAATTAGGTGTACACAAAATATTTTAACACACAGATAGGCAGAACAGATGCTTCCAAAAACCATATATGTAGTGTATTTGCATATATGGTTTTTATTTTGTCAGTTTTTAACTTGCACAGCTTCAATGAGTGCCATAGCTCACTCATTTCAAACATATATGCATAATATCGGACAGTTAACCATCTTACCTTAAGCAAAGTTTGAGCCTTGAAGAAAATTTTAAATTAGCGGAACACCGATTTGCTTACTTCAAACAAAATTGCTACTTCATTCAGCATTAAAGTTATTTATTATATGAATATAGTTATATATTTCTTCTTTATACAAATCTATTAATGGCAGAAGAGGTGGTATTGTTGTCAAAAACTATACAAATACTTACTGATAGATGTTGTATTTATTTTAAGTGAAAATATATACACCTATAAGTGCATCTATATACACCTATTATTAGGTGTGTGCATAGCGTGTATGTATATAGTTATTGTGTTTATATCTATATAAGTTTATATTTATATAATAAGTTTTTGTACATAGTTTTATTTTTGCATAAAGTTATGAGTTGTTTTATTTGTATATAAAGTTTTTGCTTTTTTTATTTATGAAATATGAAAATACAAAGTAATGTTTATGATAATGGCTGGGATGGTGCACCGGAATCCAAAGAAACTTCTACCCACCAAACAAACCGATGTTTTCCCAATCATGTTTGATAGTGATACTTTAGAATGTATTTAAAAATGCAAATAAAACCTAAAAACTTTATAAAAAAATCAGCATTTCATTAAAAAACTACATTTTAAAACTATTTGAGGGTGCTGTAGATGTGCCTTAAGTGCTCATGAGATGACTTTTATACATACTTTTGTTTTTTTTTAAACCTTTCTTTTAATACAAATTATATACATTTTGACATTACAAGTTTCTTTTGCATTAGATTACTATGTTGAAAATATTTTTATCAATTGTGCATTGAAAACATTAAAAACACATAAAAAGTTAAATTCTAAAGTTTTGCAATCAACACACAGATAACTTTTTTATATTAAGATAAAAAATGTTATTTAATATCCTTCACAGTATTCAAAAAATTGAATACTGTGAAGGATATTAAGTAATAATGTGACTTATAATGTTTAGGATAAACTTTAATTTGTTTATAATTAAAAAAAAACTTTGAACTCGTGAAAACTTTTACAGCATACTTTTTCAGAAAATTAAGATAGATCTATTTAATGCTAAGGCCTTTATCGTTAAGACTCGTGCTCAAGTATTCCTTTTTGTCAAAAAGCAGTATCTAGGACACAAGTTTGAAGAAAATTACAAATTTAGAAAGGAGCATTGGTTTTTTTTACTAGGATGATGAAAATTTATTTTAAAATGAAAATATGATAAATAAATAAATACTAATACAAATTTGTACCTTCATTTTGAGATCTATCCAATTTTTATTCCTGTTTTTAAAAATTAACTAGACAAGAGAAAGTTGACTTGATGATCGGTGTTTTATGTAGTAACAGGACGCCTTTGTTACTCAAGTTAATTTTAACTATCAACTTTTGTGATTTATTTAGTAGGTTTGACCATACCACTAAAACATAATTGATATGGTCTGACTTGGTCTAAATCCAGTCGGTATAAACATACCCGGTTATAAGGCCACTTTTTCCGTATATTTATGATTGTAACATTGCAAATTTCAACAAAGAGCGTTACGCAATAAACATGTAAATTTTGCCGCCTGAAAATCATCTCTCAATATATTTAGACTATACTTAAGTATATTACTTATATATTTAAATATATTTAAACATGTATTATAATTAACAAGCCTATGTTTAAAGGTGGTGAACAGTCAAATGTCAGCAAGTATTGGCCAATATTTGTCCTCTCAGTTTTTTTAAAAAATTTAGAAAGAATTTTGTTAAACCAAATATCTAATCATCTCGCTATTAATAGTATACTTTATAAAAATCCGGTTTCAAATGAAATAACACTTCTGAACATGCAATAATTCATCTTACTCAAAATATAACTGATTTATTTTGAAAGTCAGAATTTTCTTTAGGGGTCTTTATAGACTTATCTAAGGCCTTTGGCACTATTGACCATGAAATGTTTAAAAAGCTTGAATATTATGGCATCACTGGTAGAGCTTTAATGCTACTTAAAAGTTATTTAAAACATCGCAAACAGTTTGTCCACGTAGAAGAATCTTTTTCACGTGATTTTTTTAAGTTTTAAAAATCTTTGGAGTTCCACAAGGATCTTTACTAGGATTCTTATTATTTTTAATATATGTTAATAATCTCTATAAAGTTTCAAAATTAACAACACTAATGTTTGCTGATGATGCCAACTTATTCCTATCTAATGACAACCTCGATCAACTTTTTTATGATATACACGTTGAGCTATCAAAATTCTCTGACTGGTTCAAATCTAATAAACTTTCACTCAGTATTAATAAAAATAAATGAACACTCTTTTATTCAAGTTCTAAAAGTTTACTTCCAAGTGATATGCCTCTTCATTATATTGATAACATTCAAATAAATATAGTAAGGTCCACAAAATTTCTAGGTATTATTATAGATAAAAATCTATTGTAGAAGATTTACATCACTTTATTACCAATTATGGGTAATATAGTGATATGAATTATTTTATGGGTACTACATATGGGTAGTAACCATAAAAATAAACTGAAGCCTCTTTATTGTCAACTCTGATTGCACGTCTTAAGACATGGAATCAGAGAGAATTTTACAAATATAACGAGAAGGGGGGGTGAAATCCTTAAAAAGTACCGACTGGCTCCTTAAAAAAAAAGGCCTCAAAATTAAAATTTAAGAAGATTTTTAGTAAGAAGTAAAAAATATAAAAAAAAGTATAAAATATAAAAGTATAAAAAAATATATAAAAAAAATGTAAAAAAATAAAAAAAGTAAGAAGTAAAAAAGTAAGAAGATTTTTAAAATTTATAAGCTTATAAATTTTAAAAATTTTCTTAATCTCTCAAAGCCTCTCTTATTCAGCGTCAATATTCTTAATATATATCTATTAATTGTTTAAATGTAAAACCAACTTATCTCCAGCTTCATTTCTTGATTTATATTCTTTAAAACAAAAAATAATAATATTCTTTAAGATTTGATAGCTTAATTTTTTCAATTGAAAATATACTTATAAAATATATACTTTTAAATAATACTCAGTTTTTACACAATTATATTTAACTTTTATACAAATAAATTTGAAATGTGAGAAATTTTTTCCTTCTTTCTTTCTTTAGTAATATAAAAAACAAGAACCAATATATATATATATATATATATATATATATATATATATATATATATATATATATATATATATATATATATATATATATATATATATATATATATATATATATATATATATATATATATATATTATATATATATATATATATATATATATATATATATATATATATATATATATATATATATATATATATATATATATATATATATATATATATATATATATATATATAAACTTATAGTAATTTTATTTATAAAATTCAACTTTGAAATAATAAGCAGAGTTGTTTATCATTGGCCTTGCCAACAGTGATAATAATAATAAAAATGATAATTATTATTATTACTATTATTATTATATAAAAATAATAATAATAATAGTAATAATAATAATTATCATTTTTATTATTATTATCACTGTTGGCAAGGCCAATGATAAACAACTCTGCTTATTATTTCAAAGTTGAATTTTATAAATAAAATTACTATAAGTTTATTAAAAATGCATTAATAGCAATGCTTGCAAAGAATATAATTAAATAAAAACTATTAAACAATGAAAATTAACTTTCTTAACGCAAGTTAAATGTTACCTTGAATTATACTTCTTGTTAATTCAAATTAAAACTGATCTTAATAAGAATAATACTGTCTTTGTAATGTTATATTTTAAGATTAAGTTTTTAAACACTCATATATAACTTCTTTTTAAATTAATAATACACTAATAATTAAATTTCTATTCTATTTATACAAATTTTAAATATCGTTAAAAATAACTTGAAATTTGTGATGGTCAAATAATTGTTTTTAAATAATTGCTCACCATCTGGTCCACTCATGATTGATCCCACACGAGTGGGATCGGAATTTCCTTGGTTGCATGAAATTACCACAAGTTTTTACTCAATGAATAAAGATATGAAATTATATTCGAAGAAATGTTTTGAATTCAATAAAAAAGATGGAAGGCAAAAACTAAAAGTTTCCAGGCAACATGTTGAAAGGCAAATAGTATATCGATAATCTCGTTTTGGTATATGACCAAGACCTATGACAATGCAGAGATCAAGGACTAAAAACTCTGGTTAAGATGACAACAACTTTGTAAAAAAAATAGTTTGAGTTACTTTCACAACAAATTTGCATCTTGCAATGCATTTTTTATTGAATCATTTAGCTTATATGCATACGCTTATTTTAAAAATAGTTGAAAATAGGCACCATTTTTTATACAAAACCAAATAAATGTTCCGGAACATTTATTTGTTCTGGGTTGGCGGGATGGTACAAAAGTTCCTCAAATGTTCCTTGAATTTTTGTTCCATATGCGTTCACACGATAGGATATTTGTTCATGTTCCACGGAATGTTCCATCAAATGTACCCTCGTGTGAACAGCCTATTAGCCAGCAAATTGGACCCTTTTAGACTAGTTAGTCAGAAAATGTCGACCCTTTCGATATAGGTTAGACAGTCCACAGTCGTTTAGATATCAGTAAAAAGCGCTATGTTTAGGTACGCATGCGTAAGAAAATACAAAAAACTTTTGAACTTTTAAAATGGCTACGGCTCTTAACTACAGAGAATATTTTATATAGCAACAGTTTATTTGATAATTAATTTCTGAAAAGCCAATGATATAGCCTTATTTTTATATCAATAAAATAGTACAAAAATTTCACAAAAATATAAATAAATAGAGGTAACAAAAATTTTTGCGCGCTAAAACTGTGTTTTTATTTAATACTTTTTTAGTGTAAATCATAGATTTGTTTATTTATTTGAAATCAATTTTCTAAAAATCTGACTGTAGGATTTCAATAATTTTTATTTTAAACTTCAGATAAATATGTTCTATACGTATTATATTTTTCTAGTGATTTCTTCAATATAAAAATTTGTTTTTACTGTTATGACTATTTCCTTATATATCTGACTATATATATATAGTATATATATATATATATATATATATATATATATATGATATAATATATATATATATATATATATATATATATATATATATATATATATATATATATATATATATATATATATGATATATATATATGTATATATATATGTATATACATATATATATATATATATATATATATATACAGGCGCGGATCCAGCATTTTTTGATGTTTGAGACAACTAACTTCCAGACATGGTACAAACCCCAAAAATTTATATGTTTATACTTATGTCAAATAAAGATCATTTGCAAAAAATTGCGATGATTGGATTCTGGGAACAAAAAAGCCCCAAAATTTTGGCCACACAAACCCCAAACAAGAGAGCAACAAGTTGATATAATATTTTTTGTACAATTCTCAAGTAAATTTATATTCATCGATAAATTCTAAATTTCATACAATAATCTCTTAGTGTTCAAAAATTATAATTGCACAAAGCTTTAACCCCCCTCAATTTGAGGAGGTTACAAATTTTGTAAGGTCATGTTTTTTGAACACTAAGAGATTATTGTATGAAATTTAGAATTTATCGATTAATATAAATTTACTTAAGAATTGTACAAAAAATATTTTATCAACTTGTTGCTCTCTTGTTTGGGGTTTGTGTGGCCAAAATTTTGGGGCTTTTTTGTTCCCAGACTCCAATCATCGCAATTTTTTGCAAATCATCTTTATTTGACATAAGTATAAACATATAAATTTTTGGAGTTTGTTCCATGTCTAGAAGTTAGTTATCTCAAACATCAAAAAATTCTGGATCCGCGCCTGATATATATATATATATATATATATATATATATATATATATATATATATATATATATATATATATATATATATATATATATGTATATGATATATATATGATATATATATGATATATATATATATATATATATATATATATATATATATATGTATATATATATATATATATATATATATATATATATATATATATATATATATATATATATATATATATATATATATATATATATATATATATATATATATATATATATATATATATATATATATATATATGGCGCTACTCGACTTTCTCCCCCCCCCTGTTTTTATGATTGATTTTTATAGAGTATATTATACTGATTCTAAATCATATAAAAACATAGGCCTGAAAACTTGAGGAAAGTACTCTAAACTGATGTTAAAGTATAAAAATCCACATTAAAAAACGCTAATATTCCACCATCTTTTTAAAAACATTTTAACACTGTTTTTAAAATTTAGGTAATTAATTTTTTAACTAACGACCCGGTTTTTATTGTTGTTTTTATATTTTATGATGTAC